CTGGATTGCAGAGAGTGGGTTTTTCCCCAACAGTGATAACAGCAATGATAACAGTGATAACGATAACGATAAAGATGGCAGTAATGGTAACGATAGTGATAGCGACAAAGATAATGATAGTGATAATGGTAGCAGCGATAGTGGCAGTTATTGGGATAGTAATAGCAGTAATGCTCGTGTAGTGTCATGCATGGAGGCATCTGCGCTTTTTGCTTGTCTGCTCGGCTTCTTGAGAATTTTCTTCCTTGTCGGTGAATATTGTTGAATGCCGATCGAGTCGATTGTTCCCTGGAGTGCTGAGATAGCCAGGCTAGAGAGCGCCTATTTGTATTGAAGTGGTGAACTGATTGCAGATAACTCTGGTACCAATTTCCCTACTGTAGAAGGATGAGAGGCTTGATGGGCCAAGCGCATGGTTGAACCAGGAACGTGTTTGTGATGAACGGCATCACTACTGCTGCACTATAGTCACCACATATCAGCAATATTAATAAATAGTAAACGCAATTATTGTTATAACTACAAACAGCACTTATTGTTTTGCCCCTATTATGCAAAAGTTTCCTTTTCTTAACTTTTATTTACTACCTATTATTTTCATAGTGGACTAGGTTGAAATAATTAAGAATGATAATTTGTCAACTGTGTTTTTATGTTGGAAAGTTGCTTGTTCGAGGATAGAAAGTTGAAAAACTATTGTGAGGTTCGGAATTTCCCGGTGGCGAGAAGTACGCCCTTCAGTATTCTATGAATGATACCCATCCCTTGTTGTGAGAGTATCTTACAAGGATTTGAATCATAAAGCTGAAAGAGAGTAGTGGTCCTCAGAAGGTCCTCATTCTTGTAAGAATTCAGGCAGGCTTTAGCTTCGTCGATTGAGCCAAAATTGTGCCGTCAAGCAACCCTATAGGTGCAAAATGATTCAGGATATCTTCCAATGAGTTAAATGCTACGTGTACTACCCCAAGCATGAGGAGCCACTGCGGTAGAAGCGGTTGGGGTATTTATTGGATTCTCCTTCGCCAGTAACAATGAATATCAACCAAACAACTGTTAATTCTCGGACGTCGAGCTATCCGAGGGATAAGTTAGAACAAGGACGGGGCGAAAATTGGCTTTAAGTTTCACTCCGTTGTTCATGTTTATATATACAACAAATATGGTTTCGTAATTTATTGACGTTTCCGTTGAAATTCGTGACAAAATTCTTGTGAATTTGCACTCATCGTGTAGTCAATGAGTTAACTTTTTATTTTTTATTTCACTTTATTTTATCTTATTTGACCCATTTTCACATCTACTGTGTGGATCCCAGCGCTTCTTACATTCGAATCGTTTCCTCGTAACCATTATCCACGAAAATCTTTTAACTTTACGTGTGGCTTCGATTGCTGCTTGAGGATTTTCATTTCATGTTGAATGTCGTACAATGCTGGTCGAGCAACTCTCCCTGAAATCCTGAGATAGCCGGGCTGTAACGTTCCGAATTGGACTGCAGAGAGTGATCTTTCTTCCCAGATAAGTCTGGTACCAGTTTCCCGACCTTAGAGAGACGAGAGGCTTGCTTGGCTTGGAGCGGAATCGAACTAGCACCATGCTCGTGATGACGGACATCACTACCAAGTTGCTATCCGCTCTGCATTTTTGTTACGTAGAATAGGAGCAGATGACACCAAAACGGCGGTTTTTTTCTCTGATTGTCGTCTAATTCGTGCGGTATGTCGAGTTTTTTTTCTTTCGCGTGTGATTCAAGTAAATGAAAATTGCTCTTGTGCTTACGCCAGGCTGTTATGTAAGCTCTCGAGCAGTTCTTGGCGTCTTTGCTTCCACTAGTACCTTCAATTCGTGGTCGTCATGTTCACCGGGGCGTCCACAGGCTTTCCCACTTTCGAGGTCGAGATCACCAGATCGGAACATCCGGAACCATGTTCACGCTTTCGATTCACCAACACTACCTTCACCCCAGCCTTCATTAAGGTTTCGAGCCGTCTCTGCTGCACTATGACCGAGTTTGAACTCATAAAAGGAAATTCGACGAGATTTTGTTCTTGACATCTAAAATTGCGGAGCTCAAAATTGGAAAAAATTTAAATTTTAACAAAATATAAAAACATGACCAGAAGTAGTATAAAACCAGTTTTCTAGTGATTTATATCATTGCAAGGTACAAAGAATGTTTTGTTGGTAAAAATACATTAAAACAATAGATATTTTAAAACACTCATTTATTTCTCAACAACCTAATATTTCCCATATATTAGTTGATCCTTGCGAGCTCCATTTTTTCTCTACTTCAAGGTCCTAAGACGTTAACAAAGTTCGGGCAATAAACACACAAACGTATCGCGCCTTTCTTAGTAATATTCAACGTTGTGATTATAGCCCAATGGTTAGACGTGCTTTGCAAATATACACCGAGTCGACCGCCGGTTCGTTCCTGCGCTACGAGTCCGCTATGTCGAGCTATCAGCCTCTTTCTGAGACTTCGCCTACACAGTAGATGTGTACTCGCTTTAATTTCTTTATCTTTATCGTTGAGTTCTTCACCTTTGTTTTACATTTATATCCTTATATTTTCAATTTTTATTCAATGTTTTCTCTGTTACACTTCTAAAATAACTGACCTCTTCCTTGTCATCAATAATATTGACTACAACGCAAGTTTGGAGCATCAGTGAGGCTAGTCGAACCCAAAAACTAACGAAGACAGCTAAGATTGGTGTGAACAGGTGAAAGATCAAAGAGTGGGGGGAAATGGTAGCTAATTGACACGTTGTTCTTTCTAGTTAGCACCAGAATATTAACGCCACTGCCTTGGCGTAGTGGCTTTTTACACCTACCTCATTTGCTGGGCTTTTGTACAGGTAATAAAGCTGGTATAAAAGTTTAACCTGGAGCACAATACGAACTAGAACAATCAACGATCATAAACGATAATTGTTCCTTTTAGAAGTTCATTTTCTGTCATCGTATACCATAGTTATATGAAATCCATCACCAAACTCAATGACTAATAGTGGCTGGAGAAAGGAACAAATGGGTGATGTTTTAGCACATATAAGCTGAAGTATAGGTTTTTTAGTACCTGAGCCTACTGAGCGGTTTTAGCATGCTTTTTTGTGTGCTTAAACATCGTCTTCACATCTTATAGGTAGGCTTTCTTGAAAATGGTTGTATCCAGCTGTCTTTTCACTTATAGGGTCTTGCCATTTTGTCGTTGAGTCTTTACATCGCACGCCCAATCTATATGTTTCGAAATTGTTTCATGCAAGCAAGTTATTGTCAAACAAAGATATTTTTTCCAAGAGAGAGAATTTTGGTGGTTAGATCTTTCCATCCTTTTTTCGATCTTTTATTCCGATTGGTGTTGAAGTTAGCTGATGAACGATTTTTATTAGAAGTACTCTATTTTCAAATAGATTGTAATGGACTCATCTTTCCGTAGAAGATTACGGTAGCGTTATCTAGGTACGGTGACTTATTATTCTTATTTGTCTTATTTTCGTTTAAGGTTACCTGTTGAACATTACTGAAGATGTGAAAAGGTCTGACCATTTGTTATGCTGCATAAGGCTGTCAGTGGCGGGTCCGACATTCAACGGTAGCATGATTGGTTTGTGCGGGCAAACTTTTTCCCACAGTGTTGGAGTGACAGTTCCAGTGTCCACATCATACTGCCCATTTCCTTTCTCGTCGACAAATGTCGCTCATTTCAGTCTATTACTTGACATATTTATAGGCCTGGTGAATTGGTTGGAATTCACTATAACAGGTCACTCTAACTTAAAGGAAGTAATAAATTCATCGGTTATACGGAATAGTTTTACGTTCGTTAACCTCTTGTAATTGCCCATTACCGAACCTTGGGTGCACGTGAATCTCGAAGTTTCTGTTATTGATAAGCTTGTTCACTTTAAATAATGTAGTAATGTAGTTTTTTCGCGTAACACGATATAAAGGGCGCGTGTGGCGCAGTGATTGAAGGCGCCCTGCAACACACACGTAGGATCGATCCTCGCGCCCGTAGCTCACCAAGCGTTCCATCCCTCCGGGGTCGGCAAATTGATATCAGACTTGCTTGGGAGGACAGCAGTACTGCCTCGATACACCACGAGTCATTGTAAAGGCCAGATATGCATCCAATAACCTCCAAAGTTGCTTAATGAAGTCGAATGCATGGCGCATCCCTCAGACATTGATCATCGCCGAGAGCTCTACCTTTTTTATTTATTAATGCGATATAGTGGGTTGTTTTTTGTTGTAAATGTGTATATCACTGGTAAAATGAACGCGTTTTCAGTCATCCGAGTTGTCATAGCGTTGTGGCAAGTTGAATTTCCTGTTTTACTCGTCAACTTTGTTCTTATATAATGAAGCTAATTCGAGTCAGTTCTACTTAGACTGGTTATGTTTTCAGTTATGACCAAATCTGGAAAAAAGGCAAAAGTGAAAGCCGCTGTGAATGAGATTTCCACAGATTGGTCGGAACAATTCTGTCTACTGCGGACTGCTTTCATTATCTTCGTAGGTCGGTAATTTTCCTTTCGCTTATAAATTTTTTCCCAGTTTGAACTAAAGTGATCACATAGGTAGGTCTTCATTTCTCTTTAGCACTGGCTTCTTTGAAAATGCAGACTACAAGACATGATGGGAGTAAAGACGAACTTCAAGACCTTAACAATATTTTTCGCCTGTTTTTACCTTTACCTTAGATTCTTTCCCCAGTAAACAGCTGAAATTCCGTTTCTTTCTTTCTTAGGACTTACAAATCATCGTCGGCTTTCTCTCATGTTAGTCCCGGATCCTTTTATTAAAATTTCATGGCATTTAGCTTTCAGCTGTCAATGGGGCGTATTTAAGCCGTCTGTTGTGCGGTGTGAGCAGTAGTTGTTCCCAAATTGAAGGCCAGTCATGTAGCTGTTTTATAGAAGCTTTCATTTGCTAGTTTTAAGAAATTCTCGAAAGATATTCAAGTGACTACTGTTTTTTAATTTTGCTACCTGCAACCAACCGTCATTGTTTCCGTCCTTGAGTTCTGGCTTTAGCACATAGCAAGCCGTCATTGCTTTATTGTGTTGGTTCTCATTGGCTCATTGAAAACCGATAAACTCCAGAACACATCCGAGATTTTCATTTTGAAACAAATGTAACTAATTTCTTGTTTAACAGCACTGACTTAGTAAGCCATCCTGAGAAACTAGTACTAGACAAATCAGTACACGATCAATAACGGTGGCATTTCACGTCTATAATCGGTCTTCTCACGATGTAATACTGTATTCTTGGATCGTTACAAACTTGACTAGGTGTTTATTGTGTGTTGGGCTGTAGAACCAGTTACAAAGGTCACACTGTTGATCTTTTGGAGCTTCACTCTTGGCATGCGAATTTGCTATCCATTGCTATCGACCCTGGTAGATGGAGAGCTTACTCGTTCAGTGGCATAGTACCCGCTAGTTGCGTCTCATATGAACTATACAGACGCTCTCTTCTTTTCAGCTGAATCAGTATCCGTACTCGTATTTGTATTTTATGGGGTTGAAACAACGTGCAAAGGAGTCGTTCATTCGTTGAAAGAATTGGCGAATTTCCTATAATCAAAATCGTCGGGGAGGAATTCATAGAAGGAGAGATTAAAATGAAAAAGTGAATAACACAATTTCCTATACCTCTTGTTCCATCTGACTTCTGCTCTCGATCATTGCTCGATAGTAGTCCTTGAGCGAGTTTAGCAGATCATAGGATCGTAGTCTTTCGAGTGCTCTGTTAACAGTTTGAGTTGGATTTCATGTGAGTTATAGAAAGAGAGGAAAAATGTTACTGGAGCTTTAGTGGTAAGAACTTCGTGGTAGCTTCTTTTGAACGTGTACTCAACCAAGTCGTCTAGGAATACCGAGTCTTTGATATTGGAGACAGCCTTAACCCTTTTATTTACTGCCTTTTTCTTCTTAATGGCAGGGTATGTTGTGAAATATAACTCGTATGAAATGCTGAGATATTTGCAAAACTCCGGACCGCTGGGGTATGCAGTGGGGAACGAACAGGCGCTGTTGTCCTTACCGGGGAGCAGCGCGCTTCACCACCACACCTTAACCCTTTTATTTACTGCCTTTTACTGAAGTGCGCTGCTCCCCGGTAAGGACAACAGCGCTTGTTCGTTTCCCACTGCATACACCTGCGGTCCGGAGTTTTGCAAATATTTCAGCATTTCATTGGAGACAGCTTCCGATAAATATCTTTAGCAGGCTTCTGATTAACTGGCGAGCGCCTAACTCCGTACTCAGCTTTTTGGTTCGATGGTCTTCACAAAGGCCTACTAAATAGCTAAATAAATAGCTGAGGTGTGAATCGACACTTCTACCATATCAAAATTTTTACGGTAACCACTGAAAGTATGCGTAATTTTTGCTGAAATATATCGGTCGCACAAAGCATGGAGCTGTTTTAGGCAGATCTGATCTAGGTCCTCTGATAAATAGCTGTCCATTGAGATCCATAGGAATGTGTAATGTAGGCAAGCTATCGAAGGAATGGTCATATGATAAGAAGAACTGACGACATATGAATGAGAAAACAACTGAAGTGGACTTCGAAAGACTGCAGTTGTCCAGAGTACGAATACTTGTGCGAAAATGTTTCTGGACCATGTAGACCATCTACATACACAGTTATTTCTATGTGTTATGAGATGATATTCGCAGAGACCACGGGGCCCCACATAGGAGACCACCAATATAGACTAAAAGCGGAAGGGAAAAAGGTGAATTGGAAATGAATTAGCTGAATTTCAGAACAGTGTTCATTTAAGTGCCCAGAAAACGAGTAAAAGTATTAGATCAGGAAGCAGTAAATACATTTAAGAAATGTATGACGAAGAGCGCGTATAGCGAACAGGTTAGAGGTGTACTGTAATGCATCCATGGTCGTTGATTCGATCCGACTCCACAGGCTCACCAAGCGTTATATCCTTCCGGGGTTGGAAAATTGGTACCAAACATGTCTGAGAGGATAATAGCACTGACTTGATATATCGGTATGTCACGGCAGTTTAGATATTGCGAGATACGCATTCATTCACCTCTAAAGATGTATGATGAAGTAGAATGCTCGACGCATCCGTTAGGGATAGAAGCGCCGAGAGCTTTATACTTTGTCCCTTAACGACAAAGAGCGCATAATGAGTTAAAATTATTTGTGGGAAGTCTCAAATATAAAGGACTTACTTTTCTTCCAATTCCGTCTTGTCGGCTATGATGTCCAATAATGGCTGCGGTGGCGAGTTGCCGTTTTTCCACGTTTCGAATTCCGTTTGTGCTGACTGAGGCTGGTGGTTCAACTGAAACAGAACTGACCCAATGAGAAATTGGAAACATCTTCATTTGACTTATTACTGCTTCACGAGGAATTCGATAACGATTATATTAGGCTGTTCGGTAGTGTCTTTTTTAACTTCCAATCCATAAAAATTTCATTTTCGGAACTAATCTCGTAATAAAGGGGCGCGTGTGGCGCAGTGGTCAGAAGCGCCTTGCAACAAGACGTGGAATCTTTCCCCGTACCCACGGCCCACCAAGCCTTCTATCCCTCCAGGGTCGGAAAATTGTTACAAGACTTGACTAGGAGGATAGCAGCACTGGCTCGATACATCGGTTGTCCGCCGTGAGTCATTGTAAAGGCCAGATACGCATTCAATCACCCCCAACGATACTTAATGAAGTCGAATGCATGGCGCATCCTTCAGGGATTGATCAACGCCAAGAGCTTTATCCTTCTATCATTTAATCTCGTAATAAACATTATCCATGAGCAAAAAAGAAATCAAAATAAAAACCTTTTAAATCCAGAAATCCTTGCCAATAAGGTATATACTTATGATTTCCTGGTTACACTTCTTTGCTATTATGGTCTCTCTGTGATTAGAAAAATTATAGTGGGAAATTCCATCTGTTGGACACAAAAATTCATTAGTTTTCTAGAATTTAAATTTACTATAGGAAAATGTTTGGAGACCCCATCAAGCGGTGCTAAATGCTGAAATGAGTACAGTAACTGGGCTTCATTCTCTTGACCCCGAAAGAGCCTCAGATATGACTGTGTAGTGCAATACGAGTAGGAAGACGCTGTTAAAAGCTGAGAGACCTTCTAGGCTACTTAAATCTCGGACGACGAATGGCCTATAGACGCTGTTGGAACTACTGATTGTGACAATTTGACCAAGAAATAGATCGCTTTATTGTGCGAAGGGTTCCGCAAGCTCTCGAACTGTGTCTGTAATGGATCTGTCGTAGTCAAAATTTCAAAACGTCATCGTTAATGTCGCCAATCTTCTTCATCTTCATGACTTTGATTTGCTTCACAAGAGTTTGCTACCAACGTTATCCCATACGATGACTAAGAGTTCGCAAGCCATATATGACTTCAATAATAGGATAAAAGCGTTGATCATTCTCTTATGGATGCGCCATGCATTCCGCTGCATTAAATATCGTGCAGTTGGCAACTGATTTCGTAGTAAAACTATGCAATGACTTTTTGTGATCAATGGCTCTCCACCAGTGCCTGCCATGAAGTACTAGAAGGTTCGATTGCTCTGGTCGCGGATCGCACGAACGACTATGTTTGTCGTAGAGCACCCCTAACCACTGCACTGCATATACTTCATATCAATGCATACTTTGATAGGTCTTGTAAAAAGAGAGCATGAAAATTAGAGAGAACAGAACCGACGCCGCTTTTTCAACAACTTATTAGTAACAGTGTTATGAATAGGAATGTTGTTAATCCTGTAGAAGGACCCTTATTGGGCCTGCGTGTAGGGCCCGAGTTTTTACGATGTAGGACGGCTTACCTCATCGATGATGATGTTCTGCAGTGTGTCGAGGTTCTCGGTTTCCGCAGCTCGATCGAGCTCCACTCGCAACTCGAGTGGCAGTTCTTCGACAATGCGGCGCATGCACCGTGGCTCATCAGCGTTGCATTCTAATATATGCATAACCGGTTGAAATGAACTGTCTGAAGAAGTAGGCGAATTTACCCAGAAGCTCCTTTTTTCCTGTCAACCACTTCCGAATCGCTGCCCATATACGAGACCAAAAGGACATACGGAAATGTTCGTTCGAGCGACTGAAATAAAAGTTAATGGAGTACTCAATGTAGAAGAAATTCGATAAGACAACGCGAGCACGATTAGTTGAGCAGCTGCAGTTTGTTTTCCTTCCTCGTTGTTGCTACCTTATTTGTTTAAGATAGGAGCGTAAAGTTGGCGACGGATTCCAATACGCCTTTGTGGAGAGAGGAAGAGAGTGAGAGAACGTAAGAAAGAGACCGGGTGGGAATGAGGTGAAAGGCGGAGGCAAATCGACCGGTTGATTTCATTGTATCTCTTGGGGTTTCTTTTGCTTCAGGCTATTGTTTTTGCTTTTTTTTATTTTTTGTATCGACGAGGATAAACTGTTTTTTTGAATTAGATTATTCGTCCTTCCACAGAAACTTTTGGTGAGAAACGTATAAAATTATCTCGTTGGTGAGAGTACGACACATCTCAACTTTCTGCAAAAATATAAAAACAAAAGTTTTTCAGCGACTTTATCCCCTTAATCCTGACTGAGTGATGCAGAGACGGCTGCCAAAGAGATTTTTTGATCTTCTCCCTGGGAGTGCACAAGGGATGGGTATTGAGTTCAATGCGTACAATACGCGGCGATGATTTTCGGGTACTGTCGGTGGCCGCTAAACAAATTTAGGCATTGCCACAAATGTTTTAACAGATTAGTTGACCTAGTACTTTATAACATAGAATTAGAAATCTTTGGCACCACTGTCGAAATTAATACGTATGGAAATGAAGGCAAAGCAGTGTTTGATTTTACAGCATGTTTTTTATTGTTGCTATACGCTCTTATTACACTATTTCTCACTCACTTGGATACTTAGATGGCCCGTCTTCACTGGTTGTACGGGGTTTAGCCATTGTGGTTTCGTGGAGCGTACAGGACAGTCTGGTCGAAGTCTATCCCAGGTCATCACCACCACAGGCAGCCGCCGCCCATGTGAGTTAGAGGGAGATTTGCCACCAAGCGACTAGTTCGATACCAAGACGGTGGTGGATTCTGGTATTGGTTTACACGTAACTGGGCTTCCTGATGGAAACGCCGGAATCCTTCTCAGCTTGGAAGACCCTGCTGAGGGGTTGAATCCCCCGGTGTACATCGCAGCCCGACACCAACGAACACCTCCTAGCCACAATGAGGCGGTAAACCGTTGGGAGGCACACCATTTCTGAGTGACAAAATTCGTTTGGTTAATCACTAATTTATATGAATGATTTGGAATATCTTTGAAGCTAAAACTCGAAATGTGAAGGTAGACGCACCGCTCAGCAAAATACTCTAAAATGGCAAGCTGGTCGATTGGTGGTAGTAAAGGATTGAGCTGTGAGCTCCACACTCCTCTTATTGCGTTGTAAATGGACGCATTCTGGAAGTGAGAATGATATTAATGATGGAACTTCACTGCAGTCAGTTATGGCATGAGCATATTCTCAATCGAAATTTTGGCGATATGCCCTTAGGGCGGTTTTAACTGAGAGAACTCACATGATAAGCTTCAAGCAACTTAAGATACTTCTTATTGTCAACGAGTGAAACGAACTCAGACAAATCTGTTTGATTCTGCTCCAGTTCGGAGAGTAGTTCGGTTATGTCACTGACCTGAAATTCTTCCTATCATAGAACAGACAACAGTAGAGAGTTTAAGCAAAATCTTGCACTATTGATTGAACTATGAATCCTTAATTACAATTAGAAAGTACTCCCACCATCTTGGTATGTTTTGGTAGAGGATTTTCTAAGGGGCACTACAATGTAATATTATCAAAATCCGCAGCATTTCATTGAAGAATATCTAAGATTACCTTCACAATTTTAGCCATGAGATTTGAGAGCATTACGTGTAATTATAATCAATTGGAAAGTTGTGAGGTAAATCTGGGCGAGAACATCCAGAGGAAAATGTTTGAGTAAATTAGTTTAAGGCTGGATGTTTGCTTATTTATCCTGGATACTTTGAACAGGTTTCTGCCCTTCAAATGCTTTTAATGTGACCTATTTTTAATGGAGTTATTACTTTTTATCTTGTCCCGTATATTTTTTTAGAAATAAGGAATTTTATATACTAAAAATACATGATTCAGATCAATCAAATAGCTTTATGGTATAAAATACTGTTACATGAATACTTAAAAAAAATGGACAAGTATAAGGGCGTATTATGGGACCTTCTGCTTTTCGTCGATCATACGCTTCAATTCGGCATACGTTCGTTGCTTCATGTACTTTTCCAGGCTCTCTGTCTCGTTTTCGGGCATCGAAATCAGCATCAGTAACAGCGGAAAGTAGTTATTGAAGAGTTTGTACGTGTTGTCGGCCTCTTCAACACCACTGAGTGAGACTGGCAGCACACTGGTTATGTTTTGTGAGAGTAGGTTATAATCGAGAACTTCCAACGTCGGTGAAGACATCAGCAAACACGGTAGCACCAAGAACTGCACTTGACTTAACATCTGAAATAAGTCATTTCCAGAACTTCTGCCAAAGAAATAGCGTATTCGCCCAACAAATAAAATATCGCGAATTGTAATTGTGATTAAGTATCAAAACGTTTTTGTTTCGTATGAAGTGTAAGGAGACACCATTTTTGAGAATACAGCACAGATTTGATTCCAGTTGGTATTCAGACCAAGCCTCATATGACTTTATGGTTGACAAAACGTGGAAAAATCGAGAAATACGTTTTAATGTCTCATTAAGAAGGTTCATCACTGCGACTTGTACTCATTAAGAAAGAACAGTACCAATTAGTGCTAACAGTAGCGAGAAAGAAACTGGGTGTTTTCACTGATAATGAATGCTTTTCGTGGATTTTACTCAGCGAAGCCCTGTGGGTTGCTTCTCCACCTCTCAAGGGCGATTAGAGACTTTGTAATATCTGCTCTAGTTACTTCATATTTACGGGTTTACAGATGACAATGATCGCCATCATATAGGGATATTCTGCCGGATAGAAGCGAGGCAAAGTGTTTTGTCTCCACGTCACGGTTAGGAGACTGATCATGAACCAAGAAAGGTACTTCTCTGAAACGCTACTTGGTCTAGGGTATCAACTCTCTGATTCCACTGAGCCAATTTGGCACATACCTTTTGTGTTTACAAAGACATGTTCATGTATGTATGTGTGTGCGCGTGGATTTGTTCTAGTTTTGCGGATTGTATTCTAGGAGTCAATTCAGCCAAAACCCTGAAACCAAGTAATAGGGAAGTGTATAGAAGCCGATTAGAAGTCGCCTCAGACAAATAGGCACCTCGTGTAGTCTGGGAGAGATTGGTGTATATGATATATCCAGTCCTCACATTCAGAGCTGATCAAGCTATACGTAGGCATCAAAAAGCTAAAAACAATAGAATAAGCGGGTATCATTCCCCTGAGCCTGAAAGGGCCTGGGATACGGCGGCGTTGGGTAAGACGAATACCGATAAGCTGATAAAGTCCCTGGGCCATTCTAGACTGCTTAAATCCCGAAGCAGTATGGTGGCAATCTGTACATGCCATGCCCGCTCATTTGCATTTGAGTCCTCGATAGCGGACTTGACCCATAACGAAAAAGAAGTCTAAGCGTCCTATATGGACTTTGAGAAGTTCTACAGAGAAGAACATACATTTTTCAAGGTGATCAGTGGAGATACTAGCGGTAAAACTGGACCCGGAAGAACGTCTGAAATACGTCACATTGGACCACGGATTGGAATGGAACTAGCATAGTGAGCGGCTGTCTGAGTTTGTCATGACGACGAGGAACATTCATGGTAAATCGCAATTCCAGAAGCCCAACTTTCCACGGTAGACGTGGGAGTTTCCCATTAGAGAGCGCCATAACGAAAGACATCATATGATAGAAATAGGAGGTTTTGCCTAACCGTTGTGGGTGTTGCGCGAAAATTCTACGTAGGATCAAACCATCTCCTTCTTCGTGTAAGGTTTCATTTCTTTCGCAAAGGAAAAAAAAACTGGCTAAAATAAAATAAAAAAAGAAGTCTCAAAACTACGATAAACCAGAAGTTATTCAGTTTGTTTGTCGACTGTTGAAAACGCACTGTTCTCTTCAATAGCCATGTCCACCTGCCTCATATTAAATAAAGGAGGATGGATTTATCGTCTTACCTGTTCTCCTTTCCGAAATCCGACATGGTATTTCGTCGATTAGGAATCGAGTAACACCTTGTCCGAATAGGACGAATTCTACACATTTGAAGAAAACCTTGCACCTGTCCTCATTAACACATGGGTTCACCTGGTCACATATTACCTATCACAATGCAATGCTTGATCCTTTTCAGTTGAACACTAGCAAGACCGTGTTATTGCTCAAGAGGGCTGACCTCCACGTAACCATCTGATTGCTGTCTGTCGTCCATAAACTCTTCACTCGAGTCGTTCTATGCACGATTGACAGAACAATCGACGTTGGACAGCCGCGTGAACAAGAAGGGTTTCAAAAAGATTCAGTACAATGGACGACGTCCGCACGATAACGACTCGTAGAAGCATCGCAAGAGTATAAGAAACCGCTCTACCTCACTTTTATCGATCTAAAAGAATGGTTTTTAATTCAGTTGAGATAAAAGCAGCCATGTATGTTCTCGAGACGAGGGCATATCTGCTTAATGTATGAAGAATTTTTGTGAGCTGTAAAAATTTCACAGCGAAAATACCACTATTCTACGGCTGCCTTGACAAAGACTCAAAAAAGATGCTAGGCACGGCGATACGATCTCGGCAAATTGTTTACTGCCACCCTCCAGAACTTCATAATAACAATGGAATGGGACGACATTAAGGTGAATAAAGAAGACGCTATGAGTATCCCGTTTCATGCAAGTGACGCAGAGGATCCGAAGCTCTGACCCACTTCGGCGACCAAAGATCACTTTTATACGCCAAACTATCGAAGATAAAATGGGCTGGGGACGTAATACGTACGAATGACGATCGATGGATAAGAGCGTTAGATTTCTTGGGATATAAAGGGAGGAGGACCATCGAACCGATGGTCAGAGTTCTTCATGAGAACCCTAGAAGAAAGACATGATGCTCAACCAGCCTTTAGAGCGGGTAGGATCCACTGGGCTACTCCTGCACGGGACAGGGAAAAATGGAAAGTCTACTTTCACCCATTTGAGTCACTCTGCGATGAACGAAACGACAGGTGATACAGAGGAAGTGATACAGATAAATAAATTTACAGTCGAATGGGTATTTTGCTATTCGAGATTTGTCGTAGAGAGATTTATGGAATGAAGGCAACTAAGAGCCGTCAATCCTGCTTATGCCAACAGCAGCACTTATAGCTCATTATTAGGGTGCAAGTTTTTTAATGAAGAGAACGATCTTTAGAATATTGTAGGCAAATTAGCTTCATATAAGAAGTAAAGCAATTATATGGCGAAATGGATCTAGATAATCAAGCAGTTGGAGTGTTGCCAAGCTCAGCCTAATCACTGCTGTGATTTTTTCTGGGGTTCCTCGGCGCCTTCGTATATTTGCCAGAGTCTATTCGTTGATGTACTCACTGTGCTCATTGATACGTGTACTACTGAAGTAATCCATTCATAATCCGATGAATTTTCGATCAATGGGCAAGAGGAAACGAAGTAGTTATTCAGATGGAACGGGATGAAACTGTGTTGAAAACGACCGTGACCCAATAAGCACGACACGTGTTTTGTTTCTGAAGCTTTCTATGAGTTCAATAGAGGAACGGACGAGTTTCGATAACAACTGCGGAAACTTGTTGCTGCACTTGTTCACCTTTCAATCAATACACACCATTTGTATCTTACCAATCACTGATAACGAAGAAGTATCAAATATCAGAATAAGAATCACAGTTCAGGTTCAGATTCTGGCAACATTTCTATACTTAGAAGGAGTATGGTCTTGAAAATTCGACGACTCAGCGATTAGTAAGTCACTACTGTCAAATGTTTGTTTGCGCAGTAGACCTTAGTCACGAGACCAAAAAAAAGTCACGCTGAGCAGGAAACGCTATTTCTGCACTGCTTCACGACCACTGTTTTGAATACTAAGACTTTTCCAACTTGAAGGCTTCAATTTTCCCATTTCTCGTAAGAATCGCCACAATTATCTATCATATATTCTTAAACTATTATTGTTCGTTGGCTTACCTAGTAGTCCAGAATTATTGTGAATGTTTATTTAAAAAAAAATAATCGCCTTCTAAGGTATTCTTGAACGTCGGTGCTCTGTCCTATAGATTCTTAAAGACATGGAAGTGATGACCTAATCGAAGATAGCAAAAGGGTCCGGAAAGTGTTTTGAAATCCTAGAGTGTTCGTTTACAGGAAAAACATTGTTGTTTTGCCTGGTGCTCTTTGTGAATGAGGTCGGTCGATTTCCGAAACTGAACGGCGTAGACCACAGCCATGGTGGTGGTACAAATTCGCAGGGTTTCATTGCATCGTATTCCATCGAAATTGCATTAAGAACAAGGAAAACGTTTTCGTTTAAGAATGCAGTTCTAACTTCCTTAAGGCTATTTTTTTTTTGCAGAAATCAGTGACCCTTTTAAGTGTGTTTGGTGGAGAAGCTTTGTTTGTTATCTTTCCTTCAGAAAGCCTTTCACGAGCAGGAAGAAACAGTGAAATGAAGGCGGATACGAAACAAGTTGGTTTTTTTGGTCGATGAGAGATCAGTGTTAAGTGAATTACTTTCGCAGTTCATGATGTTGGGATGGTTGCTGGAATATAGCATACTACCGTATTTCAGCACAAAAATCCACCGATCATTCTTTCGTCATATAAGTGTTCATAGAAACTGAAAAAAACATTCTTTATAACGGTAAAGAATAAAGAATAAAGCTCTCAGCGTTGATCAATCCCTGAGGAATGCGCCATGCATTCGACTTCACTAAGTATCGTTGGGAGTGATTGAATTCATGTCTGGTCTTTACAATGACCCACGGTGGCCTACCGATATATCGAGCCAGTGCTGCTATGCTCCCATACAAGTCTGGTACCAATTTGCCGACCCCGTAGGCATGGAGGGCTGGGCGGGCCATGAGCGCGGGGATCGATCACATGTGTGTCGCAGAGGCGCCTCCAACCACTGCGCCACCCGTGCCATTTTCTAACGGTGTAGGTCTTAAATATTTCTCTGAATGAATGAAGTTTTTCTGTTAGAAAGTTCTTTAAAGTTACATGTGTGAAGTTACTAGGAGAGCGTTATAATCAAAGAAACAAAAATAAGACTAAAGAATACTCTTAGGGACACTAGAAGCTGATCAAAGAGTTCACTTGCTTCAATGCATAGTACAGATGTAACAGAGGCTGAAACAGTTGGCGATTCAGAGCATATTTTTTTTTCATTTTTATTTGAAAATAACGGTGTTCTCAAAATCCTCGATTTGTAGAATAAAGCGAGTTTAAATTCAAAGACATGAGAGCATTTTTTCCGGAGGAAGAATGAATGTAAGTTGTGGAAAACAGTTTGATATCTACAACGTTAATTCATTTTATTTATTTTTTGTTGGTCGTAGAAAATAGCCATCGATAGTTTGTGCGTTAGTAAATGTGAATTTATATGTGCAGTTCTTGAGAAGATGAGAATATGTATAGTTCACTATTCTTGTGTTCACTCACTGGGGGTCGAGTGTAGCGCAGTAGTTAGATATGTCCTGATGTATCCATGGTCATTCGTTCGACCCTGCGCCGTGGGCGCACCAACGTTTCCATCCCTCTGTGTCACGCTAATTTGCAGTAAACCTGCCTGAGAAGATAAAAACCTGGACGTAATACATCGGTTCGGTATGCCATATCAAGTTATTATATAGGGTAGATATGAATACGGTGCCCTCTAACAACGCTTAAATGAAGTCGAATGTATGGTGCACATCACTCAGGTATTGATCAACGCTGAACACCTACTTTGCACTATTACTTAGGTGGTGGAATGGGTTAGCATGAAGCTAATGGGATATGATAGAAGGTTTTCAGCAAATCTCGTGAATTTTCTGGAATGAAAGAGTCAGTGGACTTATCGCATTAGATTTAGTATAAATTCGGATCCCCAGAAGCCTGTTGATGAATTAAATTTCGATTTCAACTTCTCATTAAAGAGAGTTGAAAATTGGAAATGATTCGAAATTTTAGAAAATAGATTGTGAGATAGTGAAAGAGGAACTTTGATATCCGACATTTCTTAGCAAATGAAACGATTAGAATGGGAAATGTGAATGGAAGCGTGGAACCTTCAGTAAGTATGCTTGCCCTCGTAGAGTGCAAAGATGTCACCACCATCAATGTAACGAGGTACTACATCGCATTTTAGTTCTGTAGTGCACCACTAGTGAACATTTTTTGAATAGCAGTTAGATTCAGTGATTTATTCTATTCGATGAAGTTGGCCAAACCTCGTGTTTATCGTACAAACGTATGGCTGTTAAGCCCAAGGTTAATGCTATCTATTTAAGGTTGGAATCAATAGTTCTGACAGTTATTGCTTAGAACATTTAGTCTTTACTCTCGTTGATAGAAACAGAGGTTTTCATTTATAAAAAGGGTTTCCTCGAGGGGAACGGGAGAAGCTATGCCAACTAAGATGTGGAACTGCCTATCAGCATTAAATCTTGTAACAATTTTGAAATCTTTCAGTCGGGATAGCAATTTTCAAATTTTTTAATGGACGCTCAAGGTTTCCGGGAAGGTGGAAGCTTAGATGCTTATATTTTTCAAAGAAATATTAAACCGTCCATAACCTTGGAGTGGCTATCGGATTTCGAATAGCCGATTAATGAAACCCGTTTGCTGGCAGTCATTTTAAAACCTAAAGGTGGTTGAGTGCAGAACACTCACAAAGCATAGCGGGAGAATGACTGCGGTTTCATGAAGGCATTGGTATTTTAGCATAACAGTCATTAACGAACTCGTGCTGGTAATTTTCTCGTTCTCTGAATGGCTTGTCAAAGGCCGAGGGTGGCCATTCACCGGATTTAAAGTTTTGTGAGCCACCTAGTGCGTGTCGCTTCCCACTCGAACTGCTGTGAGCATGTTCGGGCTTCGTAGAAACTCAATGGCATATTTTCTCATAACAACTAGCTTTCTGAAGAAGTAACGGGAGCGCGTTTAATACAGTGGTTGGAGATGCTATGGAATGCAGAGGTGGTCGTTGGTTTGATCCAATGCCACGGCCTCACTATGCCTTTCTTCCCCCTACGCTCGGGAAATTGGTACCAGATTTATCTGGGAGGATAGCAGCGCTGATTTCACACAACGGTGGACCACTGTAAGCCATTCTATAGGCGAGATGTACACTCAGTCTTCTCTAACAATGCTTATTGAACTCGAATGAATGGCACATCTTTCAGAGATAAGTCAACGCCGAACGTTTTTACACTTTACCTAATTGTCAAGAGAAATAATGCATATAGGATGTTCTTAAATGAAGCGGCAATAGAGATGCAGATCAAAACGCATGATTTGGGCTAAATTTCAGGTGTGTAAGAACCATTCGACGTAGCATTTCCTGGTAAGAAAGGAATTTGGTTAAGCGAATGACTGGGATATGTACTTCTGAAGGAAAAAGGTTTTTCTAATATCTATATGCCTTCGGTCATCATTAATATCTTGCTTATTTAAAAGTGTTTTCTACTGCCGGAGTGGATTTCGCATGTAAAGAACCTATACGTGGAAATTGATACGCACGAGAAAATCTGAATACGTTCTCCTTGTCGTTTATCTGTTGGAAACAACATTTGTTACGGTTCTATTGTTCTGCCCGGTATGTAACTAACATTGGAATAGGAAGTGACAAGCACTTGCCAGATCTAAGGCGACCATTCTAACAAACAATGAACCTCCACTTCAACCCTTGAGATTACCTAGTTTTAGAACGTTATATCGACACAAAGGTGGGCCAGTCTTATTCCAATCGAAGCCCGTAAAATATCAGAAACGATAGCCGTGTCAGGAAAGCAGTACAAGCGCACGAAGTCGAAACTGTTCAAAATATCAGTCCGAATAGTTGCGTTGTTATAAAAATTTGGAGAAAAATTAACGCTTTGGCTCGGTGGAGTAGATGTGAGAAGGTGAATAGTTGCTATAGTAATCACACTGCCACACGACCATCGAGTTTTTTCTCTGCGAGCGTTAATAACGACAGATTACAAGTTTATGACGAACAGAACGCGTGAGTTGTATGTTTACTAGACTTTTTTGGAATTTTGAATTATCTATTTCGAGCAGTTCCACCCGATTCCGTGCTGTGCTAGGATATCTGGCCGAAAGTAATCATTTTAAAATAAGCTACCAGTTGTTTTTCTTAGAGAGTAAAAGAAAGGAAAACGCTCTCGGCGTTGATCAATCCCTGAGGTATGCGCCATGCATTCGACTTCATTAAGCATCGTTTGGAGGTGACTGGCTTACCGATGTATCGAGTCAGTGCTGCTATCCTCTTAGACAAGTCTGGTACCAACTTGCCGAACCTGGAGGATTGGAAGGCTTGGTGGGCCATGGGCGTGGATCGATTCCACGCGTGTGTTGCAGGGCGTCTGCAACCACTGCGTCACATGCGCCCTCATAGAGAATAGTGGTTGTCAATTGTTTCTACTGTAAAACTTTTATGGGAACGCTTTAGCTTGGCTGTCTCTAAGACTGTAAGGAGAGTCGGCTCTATCAGAATTCTACGGCAAACGTAAAGAAAACAAAATGCTCAAGCAGCAGCAAGAACAACACGCGAAATGTTCGAAAACCATTGTGGACGTAGGATGCGATGAAACGAATCGAATGCAAGAAATACTGAAATTGTTTTTAATTATTTCAGTTACAAAGACTTTTACTAAAAGAAGGTACGACAATTTATTCAATCGAAATATTAACGATAGTGGATCAATAAAGCAATAACGAGAGATCGTTTTGGTGATGGATAAACAGTCGTTTTGGAAATGATAGTGTTTGGTCTGAATTCTGGCTTCGCAGTGTTCTATTCGAAAAGGATCGTAGCCCTTGTTGACAGGCGCAGCGAGAAGTATTTGTATTGTAACCACTTCCAAAACGAGTTTTATATCTGGCATACACTCTACTATGAAAACTGAACAACGTCAGATGGTCGGTCACTTTGATGAAGTTCACGGAACTTGTTGCTACTATGCTCCTGGAGGAAGAGTGAGCCAGATAAGCGACGTTTCCCTTCAACTGGGCATAGTCTTCCGAAGCAGAAATTTCAAATGCTCACACCGTAACGTCTAGGGAGGCGAATCGAGGAAAAAGCAAATGTTTGTTAAACATGTCTCACAATCAACAGGATGCGAATGTCCATCTATCCGTCAACTTTTTGGTAACGTATTCCATCCCTGAGCGATGCAGGAAACATTATACCCGAACATCGATTGAGCATTGGAAACGTTTTGGTCTTAGTGTTTTCGTGTTGGAGTTGCTAACGGGAACGAGGAAAGAAATCTAAGCATTACCTGAGTTACTTATGTAAGCAGGTTGCACGGTTTCTGTATCCAACCGTTGCGGTAGCGGTGCTCTTTATTTGTTTTTTATGGGAACTCCCTAGTGCTCAAACATTGCATGAGAATATTAATGTCGCACAAAAGACCATTCAGGCCTCTAAGCACTCTAGACGAAGCTATTTCAAAAATGCATGACAATTTCCCCACTAATAGAGTAGGAGAGGGATTTAGAACGTCGCAGACTTATAGAAGACAATTTGCTCTGTGGCTTTAAGGGTGTGTATAGTTTTTAGAGAATATTCTACCATTTTTAATGTTGCCTAGAATCGTGTTTCTCAGAAAGATGAGAACGAAACATAAATTCGCAGGATTCCCATGCAAAAGCGCTAACCAAGCACACCATCGATACACTGGAAAATCCCATCTTCTCTGGGACAAAATCTCTTTGATCTAACTTCTTTTGTGTTCGAAATACGAGCCTTCACCAAGAAAAAGGAAAAATGCGTTGGAAGTGGTCTAGAAAATCAAAATTTTGCTTTAATGAAACGAAAGAACTTATGTCTTGGTAAAGATGTGTAGATTCTACAGCTTTTGTGACAATTACTAACATTTTCACTGTGATCTGAAATGTGTTGGTTTAATACTGAAAACGGTCAATGGTATCTACAAGAGTTACATCGTGGCGTAAAGGTAAAAATACAACGCGTTTAGTGGAAAAAACTGGCCAATAAGAAAATGGCAAAGGAATTTGATGGCGTTTTGTTCTTCTTTTAGCTTTTGAAGGGTGTTGCAGAGTTGGAAAAGTTTGAAAAGGCAACGACGCCATGTGATGGAGCAATCGCTGAGAGTCGGGAAGGTACATAATCGTTCCGGTTTTATTGCGATTTCGTCGTATAGGAAACTAATGCTTACAGAAGAGACCGCCGGTACCAAGAAATATACGGTTTTACTTGACCGATGGACGTAAAGTATGTGTCATGAGATAGAGGTGGAAAGTAGCGGGTTAAAAAAGTTTGGATTGTTATCCAAAAAAAAAATCGCCACAAGTAGACGACATCGATGACATGTGAAGACGGTCGTCGTCATTTTACAATATGTATTGGTGTAGTGAAGAAATAGTTTGTGAGTTTATGCTAAACTGTCGATTAGTGCTAGTAAGTTCATAGTCAGAAGGATTAGTAGTTAGCTCGAAAAAATTGATCCCAACTCCGTGGAAACATCACGAATTATGTTAGATAGGTTTTCACTGATCGTAGGATTATAGGCGCTGGTATGGCGTTGAGAACGAAATCATATAATTTATAATCCCACATTTCGTGGGTTTTCCTACCAACTGCTTTTTTACAAGCCATCAGAGAACTTTTAGGTCTGCACAACTGAGTAATAGCGAGTGAAATTTTAAGTGAAGTTATCATGACGATCAGACTGAACGTCATTGGGTCTTCTTTGTAACTAGTTCCGGTTGCTTTCTTTCGCTGAGTGCAGTTTCTTCTTTGTTCTTGTCACGTCAGAGATTCTCAACATTGATTAAATTTGTTTAAATGTTCATTTTCATTGTTTTCACGGCGTATCTCTGGTCATAAGGTTTTTAATGAAATATCAAAAAACGTTCAACCCAGATGGAAACGATTGATGCCTTGATCATAATCAAGACTAGTCATGCGTATCTTTCGGAAATCGGTCATACCGTTCTCTGCAAAACACGTCTACGAAGTACTGTAAAAACACTAGCTTTTGTATCGTCTACTTCACATCTTTGTAAAGTCAACATTTAGAGTCTTTACATATCTACAAGCAGAGGAATTCACATTTGACTGCCACCAGCTGACTGCTGAACACCGTAACCGTTTCATACCGTCGGTCTCCGAATTTCCACAGAGAATATCTATGTCACCGTTTGGAGAGACCAAAAAACATTTAATTACTGTGGTAGGGGACGGAAATCCAGGTAACTGGTCTAAAACACTTGGATATTGCTGCAATTACGCCCAACCTGTCTAACTTGCCCTCTCAACTACCCACCATCCGCAATGTTTTCGTTGCAAATTGGGGCGAGTCATATACCCATAAAGTGGCTTTTTTTGCTGTTGGGTGAATTCAAAATGGTAGTTTCATCGAACCACCGTAGAAAAAGGCTCGAATGAAAACATCTGGTGAATCGTACATTCAATAATCTGAAAGGACGAGGACGTGAGTTCGAAGGGAAAAGTAACCCAAACGCTTTGTATGTTGGCTTTTTATGAAGACGCGGAGAGTTTTATTATTGGAAACTAGGAATGGACTCGTATAAATTCACATTTTCTGTTTGAAGTTGTAGTTGGCAAATTTAGGCTTAGTTAGCTCGTTTGAACAAGTGCATGAGTGAGAAATCACCACAGATAAAATCGTAAAGCAGCAAAGAAAGGACATGAGAAGTATAGAGTAGTGAGAAAGATAATACGGTCAATTCATTCCTTATAATCTATTTAGTTAACGTGTTAGGTACTTTCGACGAGTTCTTAGACCTTTCAACAAATCTTTGCAGCCTTACATGGAGACATAAGAAATAATGGTTGTACAACAAGACTGTCCTCTTGTTGTTAGATAGTAGAGATGACTACTACTTCCATTTCCTGGCTTTTGGGAACTAAGAGACTATGAGAGTACTATGAGCCTATCTCTCCTTAGGTAGAGGTAGTGCTTACTAGGCCGATTTCAAGTTGGTGTCCTTTGGGGACCACACTGCTTAGCTAACGCATCCTTTCGATGGTGATGTGTGTTACTTTGCACACCACCGTACTCCGGACCACAACTATAAGAGTACAACAGCGGCTATAATGTACGTAGTTATCGACCTTTTATAGGAGCAGTAATCGTTGCGGAAAAAAGCTGAAAAAAAAAGGTCTATGAACTTATACTGCAAGTGTTTACATCAACAACACATGGTTTTGATATAGGGTTCAAGTGAGTTTGTCGTTCTATAAACGAGAATAAGCTTGAGCACTGGCTTAGTGCTCATGCTGTGTTTCCAAAAGTGGTAGGTAAGAGCTATCATATATGAAAACATCGTTGGAGAACTCTATGAAAACAGACAACCGTAAACCATTAACATAAGCGAAGACTAGAAAGGAATGTATGTCAAAAGGAATTCGTTGGAATACTGAATCGGAAATTTTCCCACGTAAGAAGCACATGCTGTTACTGCAGTGTGTGCTAACACAAACTAACTGGACTGGTCCCTCGTCATCCCCACAAATGTTTTTGTCCGGACGATTTTTTTCACGGATATGAATTACGCAATCGTACATACGAACTAGTTCCGAGGTATTAGCCGAGAATCCGTGCGCCCAGACAATGCCACCTCTCGGAAATACAGGTGCAAGTTCTTCTTTAGCGTTAAAAATCTAACTCAGTGGAATCATATGACATGTTGGAAATAACGGGCTGTTCGTTTTCAATAGGTTCAAACCAGAAAAATTTGCTTGACTACAGATTAACCTCAGAACACGTACAGCTTTCATATTCACAGATTTCACCCAAGTGGAAAAGGTTATGACTGTGCAAGTCAGTGAGATGCGTTGGCATGATTATGCTCTACATCTTTTGAAACAAAAGCATATTACTTTTCCTAATGTAAAAGAACAATATTTTTCTTAATGTGAAAGCTTATTCCGGTTTTTTAAAGAGGTTATTGAGTGATATTGTTGAGATGTAAGTGTGCAAATAGGACGGAAGCGCGAGGAAGTGTGTTTGGGTTGAGCGGAAACGAATAACCAGGCTCTCTTCAGGAGTTGGCTGTTCGGTGCTGAACTCGAGGCATCTGTGGACGCTCTTCGAGAACGACCGACACTTCAGCCACTTGGCGGATTTCGAGCGAGAAATGGCGTACAGGACGGAAATGGTGAGTGCAGACAGTTACCGTTGGCTTCGAAATTATGAATTCGAATCGTCGAATAATCGGAAAACATAATTAGAAATGTTCATGGGAATCAATTGTATGGTTGGTAGTTTTTAGGGAATTATTCGAAAACTTCGGAATCTTACTTTCTTCGAAAAGAGGGTATCATTCACTGGACTATTTGTTCAATTAAAAACATCTTTCTGGATTTGTTGGAGGTGTCAACTGATGAGTCACGACGCCTCTTTGTCATTCAAGTATGAAACTAAATCAGCTTTTTGAGAAATGAATTCGAAATATCTAAAACAAGTTTCACTGAGGAAGTTAAGTACCAGGAATAACAAAGGGAAACTAGTAAATCTAGGATCTAGTAGAATTTTTTTCTAGGAATTTAGCGCAGCAATGACATCGGTGGGGTGGATTTTGATGATAACCGGATGTAATCCGAAAGGGAAATGTTTGATCGCTGAGAACCGGCAAACGAGAAATGGCGAACGTCGTGCCGGATCATTCGTTCACGGTGGTCGGTTTCGTATGTGGAACGAATTTTAACGGAAAAGAAAGTTGCGATGAAAAGAAGCTAGGTCTATTCTCTAAGTCTACTTTGGCTCGACCTTCTTATGGGTGTATGAAATCATCTCTGTCCACAAAATTCCAACTTATCTAGGTGTCTTAAAATACGATTGGCACGAGTATTTGTCGATTGCTTTTTTAGAGGTAAATGGAACAACCAAATTTCTATGAGGAGTTTCGAAAAAAAAACGTCACATTTCTGGTTCAAGAAATACCGTGGTTTTTCTTTTTTTGAGAAGGCAATAAGTGGAAGCGCACTAGCCTCTGCTGGCATAGGTTTGGTGATAATTGGGCTTATAGATAGAAATGTCAACCTGTTTTCGAAGATGGTAGAACTCGATGGGAACAAGGCCTGCTGAAAATCGCAATCCAACACCCAAAAATTATCCTCCGATACGATGAGGTGATAAACCGTTGCAGGCATACTTACAAGGATACCTGGATGGCCCGTCTTCACTGATTGCGCGCACCCCAGCATAAGTTCCACTTTTTCGGAATTTTATTGGTTTAGCCATCGTAGTTTCCTGGAATCCCAAGGTCAGCCTGGTCAAAGTCTGCCTCAGGTCGTCACCACCACAGTCACTCGCCGCCTTTGTGGATCCGAGGGAGATTTGCCAACATGCGACTAGTTTGATACCAGGACGGTGCTGATCCTGGTATCGGTTTGCTTTTAGCTGGGCTTCCTAATGGAAAGGTCGGACTCCTTTTGAGCTTAGGAGACTGTGCTCGGGGAGATGAAGCCTCCCGCTGTACATCGCATCTCGACACCCAGGAACATATCCCAGCCACGATGAGGCGGTAAACCATTAGGAGAATTGCAGATATATATGTATATATATGTATATGTATTTAATGTACACATATATCTATATGTATATATGAGGTAAGTATATAAAATAGACGTTTTTCACATGTTACATCAGCCGTCATCCAAGCTACTGTGTAGATCTTGGAACTTGCTTTCGATTCGATCACCACGCTTTCATCGCTCACAAAGGTCTTCGAATACGTCATGTTTTGTTCCACTAATGCTAGAGAATTCCGTCTTCTTTATAAATGTAGCGGAATGCTAGTAAAGTCGATTCTGATTGTAATCTTTAAAAAAGTCGGGCTAAGACGTTCCCACATGGATTGGATGTGAGCGGTAATTAGAGATCGAAGTAGGGCGTTTTGCTTCCTGAACGACAGCATCACTAACCACTGTCGCCAATAAGAAAGGGTATTTCCATCGTTCAAGAATATATATATATATATATATGTATATAAATATGGCGTGGCTTATTTACAATTTGTACCCGAAACGACATCCTACCACTTGGAGTGATTTTCGTTCCAGTTCCTTATAAACTTACCCGCTTGGCAATACTATTATCTTTAGCTAGCAAATTTCTTTTACTGTGCTTTATCATTAAAGAAAGGAATATCGAATTTTGAAGAATTGTATCTTTATTATGATATATATCGATTAATCAGTTAATCACGAGCTATGTAAATCTCTTGGGGATGAAAGAATTAGTATACTAAAATGCTAAGCAGAATAGTGTTTAACTCTATTAATAAAAGATAAAGCGCTCTTCGTTGATCAATCCCTAAGGGATACGCCATGCATTCGACTTCATTAAGCATCGTTTGAAGGTAATTGAATGCATACCTGCCCTTTACAGTGACTTGCGGTGGCCTACCGATGTATCGAGCCAGTAGTGCTATCCTCCCAGACAAGTCTGGTACCAATTTGCTGACCCCGGGTGGATGGAAGGCTTGGTGTGCTATGGGCGCAAAGATTGATTCCAATGTGTATTGTAGGCGCCGCCGACCACTGCGCCAAATGCACCACTCTATTAATAGCAAATTAAAAATGAGCATATGCTACATTGTTATTCTGAGCAAAAATTTTTTCATATTTATTATTTTTCAGTTAGTTTTTATCGAGCATAGAATAGAAATTGGCCGTTTACTGCTAGCAAACAAGAGCTCTTTTGGACAAATTGCATGATTTCTACGGCAAAATGGAACATTTCACGTATTACCTTGCAATTTAGAAGCAGGACGACAACTAATCCGGCCACCACCCTTTTCGAACCCACCCGAATCAACCAAACGTCCCATCACTCCGGGATCAAGAAATTGGTATCAGACTTGTCTAGCATGATCCATGAAATTATGGCCTGTGGTGAACCCGGGAACGTCCTAATTCGCAGGCTAAGACCTTCTTGAGTGACGGATGCGTGGTAACAAGTCGAATGAAAGAGGTTCTGGTATCGCCACAATGTGTGATGTCAGATTTCAAAGTGACAGGAAAGAAATAAAAGATCTAAAGGCATCATTTCAAATCTTAATAACGAAGTGTTTTATAAAAGGAAAACATGATTTGGAAAAACATAGAAGAGGAAAAACGAAAAGAGAAATGAAAGAGTTAGGATACAAAAATTACTAAGTAACGAAAGGATGAACTGACTTTAAATCTTGAAACAAGGGTTTTTTTAGTGAATCCACTTTTGTAAACTCAAAATGAAAGCCCATTGGCCGCTGTTGTGAGCACATCGAAAGGTGCTTGAGGGACGAATTCGCTATAAGTATTTGCATGCGTGCAGTGAAAGGATTTATATTGACGGGTGTTACTCATGTGTCACCTCCAAGAATAGAGAACTGAGATGAGCAACAATATTTATTCGGGCTCTCTATGAACATGTTCAATTTGGAATATGTTTGTATATTGTTTAGATTTTAGTTACTCGTTTCAAGATTGTAAGCCATGTTCAACACTGTGATAGGCGATTTTCTTCGTATTTTTGTTGAGCAAACGCGAGGTGTTATTATTCTTTGTTCACGATTAAGCTGACGTTTCGGCGGATTTCGCCTTCCTCAGAGCCGCTTTCTATGAGGTTTCCACTAAGTATGTCACGTTGAGACCAACCGCACAGAAATCACGTGGAAGTATAATGATACTGTGATAGGCATTTTAAAACTACAGCTTTGATCACAATGTTTTAAATTTTGTTTACTGCCCAATTTTTCTCCATTGTAGGGTTTGATGTGAAACACGATGATAGCCGAGATGTAAGGAAAACTCGGGACCCTCAGCTGGCCTTCTAACCGGCGATTTTCCTTGCTGGGGGTCACGTATACGCCATCCACCACACTAACCTAGACCCTTGCTTTGCTTCATTCCGGCTGACGGATGATTGCTGATAGGACCAAAAGAGTAAAAACATGACTGAGAGAAAGGCAACAGCACGGCTTAAACGACGTGACCTCTCTCGGCAGTGAGTGCCTTTTCGAACCTAGCTCCACTCTAGAAGATTTGGCTGCGTGCGACTAAAAAGACCCAAGTCATGAGGAGGAACAGCTGTGTACAGTCGACTAGAATCATTCCGGCTCTGAAGAAGGTGAAGATACGAAAAAGTAAGCTGAATAAGGGCTTAAAACAGCTTTGTGTAGGCTTATAAATAGAAAGGAATATTACTAATAATTATTCATGCCGAGGTAAATTGGAAGCCGGTTTTAAAAGTGAAAGTGAAAGAACAGTAGAGACGGAGATGGTCCTTCGATAACTAGCGATATTTTTTTGAAGATTAGAGTGGTTGTGACCTGTTTGATTTGAAACTTCCAAATTTTCAAAACTCGATAGACATTCAAAATTTTGGAGCCCTAAAAATAGACGATGAAGCTGCAAACATTAGCGATTTGGGCTGAACCATGTTGCGAGTTGAGTGAGTTCAGAGTTGGAAAGCGCAGTACTTTCTGACCTGCATCCCTTGAAATCAATGCATAAATTTGTAAATGTTTTACGCAAAGATTATCTGTGTTTTTAAAAACCGTGACCATCAATAATATCTTGAACCTCATTGAATCAAGAAGGTGGAACACTAAAAGCTGTAAGCCATGTGGTTAACACTTTCGCGACAGCATGATCTCATACAATGTAAGATAAAGGCCGCATTCAGACATAAGTCAACATATCTCACTTCAAAATATATCTTATTGATTGCGATAAGAGTAGGTCCTCTGGACGGCATGACATATTTCCTTCACTTTATTGTTTCAAGACTGGTATTTCGAACACGAAAGAAAACTACCAAGTGAGGTTTCGTCCACCATGATGTTGTTCCACCATAATGTCCACCACGGTGGTTTCCCCAATGCAGTATTTATGTTTGTAGCTGTTGCCCTTCTATTTGTTTTATTGAAATTTTGAATTTCGTTTTAATATTCCTTGAAAATCTTGTTTCAGGAAATTTTTCCTCACTTATTGAAAAAAGAAGACCGTTGCGAAAGAACTGAACTGGACACTGTCATAGCAAATGTAGCTGACTCCGAAACGAATAGCGCGATTACCAATAAACCACAGCGATCACTAGTTTTAGTCCTCATTAAGCTCTTCTTGGGCTGTCATTTTTCATTTTACGCTACTTTGTCATGGAAATAGTTAAAAATATTGGTGAAAGGCAAACTGAGTTTTTGCAGATGAGATTTGGTTGAGGTGTATTCTAACGACATCTGCTATGGTGAAAACCCGACTATTGCTAGTTGTGGTCTTACGGGATAAAAAATCTGCTGTTTTGCAGAGCATTTTAACAAATTTGCTTCATGAAGCTCAACGACATCATGGTAAATTGATCATTTTTTATTTCTTTGGTAATTCAGAGGATAACGAAAAACACAGAATCGGCTAAGAAATGGTTCTCCTTGTATTGATGGCTATGATTTCATGGACCTTAGCAACTTCTAATAGATTACAATTATTTATTGATTAGTGATCGATATTGGTGACATTCCTGGAGGATCTTCGACCGATTTTCTTGGTCGTCGCCTTTCACATATTTGAATGTTGCAACTATCTTCTCTTCGCATCTCAGCGACACAAGGATTTCTATCGATGTCCGTCCGGATTAGAGCTGTGTTGTGTGCAACGAGATTGATGCACTTCTGCGAAATATTTCCTCAGGATTGAGAACCGTTCCAGAAAAAAGGTGCTAAATTCGCGACCACTTTGATTCGAGGAAACCAGTCGTGTTACGCAATACTTCTACCTTAACAAAGTAGAGTCAGATGAAAATGTAGTGCTCTGCATGCTGCTTCCGCAACTTCGGCTGAAGAACTTTTGTTTGCAGAATTGTAGGAAAATTTTGTAGAAGAGTTTCTTGGAATCTCGTGACACATATAGTGTTGATTAGTTTTGTCTGAGTTGAACTCAAAGTCCCCTGGTCACCAAACTAAGCTGGTTTCGTGATTCGTGCATGCTGGCGTTGTTCAATCGCTGGCTATTAATTGAATCCTCTGGAATGTCGTCCGTTCGCAAGCTTCTATTTCAGATAACAAGGGTAAAAAGGAGTATGCCGAGTTTGGATTCAATGTGCCCCTATAATTTATAATTGATCAAAACTATTTAAATCAACAGTATTCAACCTTCTCCCGAATGCATGGCCGGGAGCATAGCAAAAACGACACGACTGTAACTGGACATTTTAAAAGTAGACAAAAAAACCGGGAGAAAATTTAAGCACGCGAATGAATACTGGGCTGACAAGAAAAGCTTTATGTCTGTAAAGAGGCGACTGGTCGCCGTCCCTACGCATCACCGACACAATGGAGGAGATCATTTGGGGAGAATTTTGCTTTATTATGAAGATAACATTACATCAAGAAGGTATCTCCACAGCGTCTTGACCGATTCGAATCACATCAGAACCATCCACGAATCTGGCGACGGTGTCTGATTTCGTTACCTTCTATTTTACACGACCCGTCTTTACATCTACGTGGAAGATCCCAGCACTTCTTGCATTGGGCAAGAGTGGGTTCGGTTGGTGCTTGCGCATTTTGATCGTCTGTGTAAATGTCGTGGAATGCAATTGCAGAGAGTAAACTGTTCCCAGACAAGTCTGATACCAGTTGAAACAATACAGATGGTTTTGTAACATAGCCTACACCTTTCGATAACTGGAGTATTTAAGCGTTGACAACACTGTATTGAAAACGCTTTAGGTTATTACTCCAAAAATACAAATATTCGTCATTTCGTCATGTATAATGTTATTTCGATTTCCAGCCTACTTAAAACTCATGTTTTCTGAAAACTGACACCGGTCGGGTGATTGCTGATAGCACTAATAGAGTAAAATCAAGGCTGAGAGGAAGGCAAAGAAAGGGCCTCGGTCGGTGTGATGGATAGCGCATGAGCCCTTGAAGAAGATAATCGCGGGTTCGAATAACACTTCAGATTCTGAGCTTTGTTTATATCTCACCAACCTTGTGGTTCTACTTCAAATCATCTCCTGCCTTGAAAAAAAGAATCGGCAGTAGATGAAAAGTTAATACTAACAAAAGATTGTAGATTTGCAAATTTTCAACGCAAGCAGTATAGCAGAAATACGCTCCTTTTTAATTAAAAGATGTATTTAATTTCTTTCACTGGCAGCACCATTACGTTATGGTGTTTTGGTAAGGGTGATGGTAAAATTGAAGAGATAAAGGAACGAGAACGACATTGGTATTTTAACTTGCTGGGGATGGATTTTTTCTTTGTCATTCATTTTTTTTGCATTAAAAGGATAAAAAAGAATAAAACTGTCGGCGTTGATCAATCCCTAAGGGATGCGCCATGCATTCGACTTCATTAAGCATCGTTTGGAGGTGATCGAATGCATATCTGATCTATACAATGACTCAGAGTGGCCTACCGTTGTATCGAACCAGTGCTGCTATCCACCCAGACAAGTCTGGTACCAATTTGCCGACCTCGGAGGTATGGAAGGCTTGGTGGGCCAGCCATGGGCGTGGGGATTGATTCCACGTGCGTGTTGCAGGGCGCTTCCGACCACTGCGCCACACGCGCCTCCGTTTTCACATTAATCAAAATCAATTATTTAAATGAATATGCTTATTAATTTTTATCTCTCGTTATTCTTGCCACAGGCTCGAAAAATGAGAGGAATATGTCCAAGTGTTTATTTAAAGAGAACATACGATTGTCGTAAGATGGCATTTTCCAGATGTTAGTCATTTAAATGTTGACATATAATCGATAGGTATAATTGATATGGAAGGGTGCGACTATGACACGGATAATATAGCTATATTGTTAATGAAGAAAGGAAGTTTAAGAGAACAATAACGAGTGTCCTGAGGAGAAATACCGTTGGATGACGTTGTTTTAATGTAGAGATCATACAAAGTTTAGTGGAAAGCACGAATAGGTTGAAAGCCATAAGCAGCTGATTAGAAGTGTTTACAGGGTCTCTACTTCTCCTACTACAAGACAATCATCAACGCCGAGTCGTACTACACCGGTTTGCAGCAGATCACCAACGACAATCTGACCGAGTACGGGCACACCATCAACACCCTGAAGAGATTCAATCTCTATCCAGAGGTGCGCGAAGTCGGTCCACGTCCGCGTTTTCTCGCCGTGTACGGCGCAGTTCTTCAAACTCTTTACAGCCGAATTTAGCCTAAGTCTATAAAAGTTCTTCGTATACAACAAACCTCGAAATATTGTGAGAGTGACGAAATTACTATGGAACGTATTAGTTGAAATATGAGTAAAAGTAAAGGTAAAATGGTCAGTACCAGAAACGAATTAGATGGCGGTACTTGACACTTGACACTTGAATGGCCCGTCCTCACTGGTTGTGCGGGCCGCAGCATAATCTCCATTTTTCGGAGATTTGCTGGTTAAGCCATTGTGGTTCCGTGGAATCCCGAGGTCAGCCTGGCCAAGGTCTGCCTCAGGTCTTCATCACGACAGGCAGTCGTATCTCTTATGGATCAGAGGGAGATTTGCCACCATTCGACTTTGATGCCAGGACAGTGGTGGATCTTGGTACTGATTGGACGGTGGTACTAATTGTACCAATTTTATGGTTCCCTTTTTAAAGGTCGTAAATTTATGGATACTATGTGGCTGTGCTTTTATCACATTGTTAAGTGCACTTGGAAGAAGAAAAAATGAAGCCACTAGTGGAAACGCTTATTTTTAGTCGAAATGAGTAAGCCGAATATTTATTGATCTTTAAGGTCTGAAGAGCTTCATGGCTGGCAGATTCGAGAAAATGACTTGAATGCAAGTGCGTGAATACCAACGTGTCATGTAAAAAAATGTGAACAGACTACACCCTCAGCTTAACTAGGTCCATTGCGGATTAGTGGTTTGCAGATCAAACCCGTTGACGGGTGACTGGTGATGAGAGTAATCGATAGGACTAGCCGAGAGACAGGCGAAACGAAGAGCCCGCATGGTGTGGTGGTGAACGCGTTAAGTCCCGGAAAGGGTAGTAACGCGCTTGTTCCACAGTGCAGACATCTGCGGTCCGGAGTTTTGCAAATATCTCAACACAAATGTGAAGGGTATTCTAAGGCCGAAACTAACGCTGTGCAATTTTATGGCTCTCAGAAGCTGGGAGTAGAATGATTTTGTCATATTATAGGAATTCTTTGAAGGTGTTAGTAGAGACGACGTATAAAAGAAAGACTTTTAGCTCAAACTCTTCCAAAAGAACATCAGCAGAACAACGACGTGGTTAACGTTATTATATTTATATTAGAGATACAACCACGTCGTTGTTCTGCTGATATTCTTTTTGAAGAATTTGAGCTTAAATGTTTTTTTTTATGAAATAATAGTTCTATTCGGTGGGAATAGCGTTGACACGGTAGGTTAATCTAACTAACAATAGCAGGATGGTGAAGTCCAGAGCTCGTTTAAAGCGCACTGGAACATCGTGCGACATAGGTTTTTTTCACAGGTCTTGCTCTCGTTCGCTTATCGACAGTTCAAGCGCATTACAAACACGCTTGGTTGGAAGCTCGAACGTTGTTGGACGATTAACCGAGGTGATTTGGCACCTGTGGAGAGCTGTGAGGGTTGGTGCTTCAGCTCTTCGAATTCGCTTTTGCGATTTGAACGTTGAGAGAAGAGAATCAAATATTCGAATGCAATTAATGCTTCTGGTTACATATGTCGATCGGCAGTGTGGGCAAAATGCATTGGCCACAATGCATATTCTTTCCGAGTGTTAATTTGTTACGTAAGGTTTATTAGTTATATTTTTGTGTATTCTTCAGGCGGTATTGTACCCCAACCAAGAAGTTGTGTCACACGTGGTCTATGAAAACTCGCTCTTCTCATCTAATAATGTACAAAATATCTTTTTTGGAAGGAAATTTTCAATGCGCACAATGGGCGTTGAGAACGACTCCCTCACGGCTGCCATAAAAAATCGGATGTACTTTTAAAGATCGGAATCTTTTCTATTCTTTTCAAAATAATGGAGGCTATTGAGCATGAAAAAACTAAATAGCCACATCATCATATACTACGCGAGAACGTGAAAGAACTAGAAATCAGGTGATATTCTAATGAAGGCGTTGTTCCAAGCCACAAATCCAGTTTTTCATCAGCTTCCATCTAATAATGTTTTCCAGCCTGCTATTAAATCCAGACTTTGATAAAGGAGGCTTGGAACGAAGACTACTATCATGTCAACATTTGATATCGTTCTTCCTTCACAGTCCGTTTAAAAATGAAAACGCGAATAGACTTGATACCTTAACCAGAAATATCTCTGTCATAGGACAACGTTCATCTACGTGATCAGTTAGCCTGAGATTCAATTCCTAATATCATCTCACTGTACCATCTGTCGTCACCTTCGTCGCCGAGTGAATAACTGGCGCCAGTAAATCTTCCATTTCTGGCTGTCGCGTGCAAGCGTAGCCCAGTGGGTTCTACTCGCTCTAGGGACTCAATGAGCATAAGCGCCTTTTTTCTAGGCTTTTCGTGAAGAACTCCGTCGATCAGATCGGAGGTCATCGTGCAGTAGGTTTTACTTCCAGAGCAATCGAATCAGTGACCATCGGTTGTCGTTCACACACAATACGTGTCCAGCCTACGTCATCTTCGGCAGTTTGGAGAATAGAGCACCATCTTTGATTTTTGATCGCTGACGCATGTAGGAACTTCGGATCCCTTTCCTTTTCTTTTGTCACACAGCATACTCCTAGCATCGTCCTTTCGACTACATGTTCGATAATGCTGAGTGATCTTTCACCCTGCTTACGCAGTGACTAGATTTCTCACGCATACGTTAAGGCGGGAAGTACTGTTGAGTCGAAAAGGTGGGCATAGAGTCGGTATTTTTTGTTCTGTTCACAACATCCTCAATGCACTAGAAAGCTCCTCAAGTCGCTCGTTTACTTCTGCTCAACTCTGGATCTAAGCCATTCGTCATGATGATTTTCCGACATAGATAGACATAGCTGGAGCATTCGGAGATATTGGTTCCGTTGAGCGTGAATGGGGCATGCGAAACCATTGCGTTTCTCATGCACATCGTTTTTGTGAAAATAAGTCGAAGACCAGTTATTCTATAGGCTTTATCAAAGTCGGCAAGCATTCGTTCTGTTTTTCTAATATTTGCTATTCTAAGGACGACGTCATCAGCAAAGCGAAAATGGTGTAATTGCCGATAAACGATTTTCACTGCTCTGTTGTTCCATTCCAGTGTGCACATGACGTTTTCGGGGCTCACGGTAGATATTTTTGGCGAGATGGTATTGCATTGCGTAACCCCGCTTTTGACGTTAATGTTAAAGGGTTGCAGAATAGTGATATTTTGGCTGTGAAATTTTCATACACCTCACGAAGAATCTTTATATACTGAGTAGGGACTCCCAACTGTTTAGGGGTTCGTTGACTGCTTCCCTTTCAATTAAGCCAAAACCTTCTTTAAATTGAAGAAAGTGAGACAGAGCGGGTATTTTGTACTCTTGCGATACATCAACGAGTGTGGTTATCGTGTGGATATGGCCGATCGCACTTAATCGTTTTCGTAACTTTGCTTGCTCACGTGGCTGTCCTTCGTCCAGTGTTCTGTCAATCCTGTTTAGGATGATTCGAGTGAAAAGTTAGTAGACGACAGACAGCAAGCAGATTGGGCGATAGTTGCCGACATCGTGTAGGTCACCCTTCTTGAACAATAACACGCTCCTGCTGGTCTTCCACTGAGTAGAGCTTTTCCCAACCTCTGCAGCTTCGAACATTACTGCTGCTTCTCACTCTTTATGATCTTTCATCACCACTCTACCTCATTTTGCAGACTTAGTCGTGAGTTGACGGTTACCGGCAGCTCATGCGATTCCACGCTGGCGTATCAGCTCGAGTGTTTCTGGAGACAGACGTCTCTTGGTGGCTGTTGAACTCTCGGTTTTCGTAGCGCTAATGTGAAGGTAGGGGCGCGTGTGCCGCAGTGGTTAGAGACGCGGCTGCGACACCCACGTGGAATCGATTCCGGCGCCCATGGCCCACCAAGTCTTCCATCGCTCCAGAGTCAGCAAATTGGTACTAGACTTGTCCGGGAGGATAGTAGCGCTGGCTCGATACATCGCTAGGCCACCGCGATTCACTGGAGACCAACCGGCCACCGCGGACCAAATATGCATTCAGTCACTTTCAAATGATGCTTAATGATGTTGAACACACTGCGCATCCCTCAAGGATTCGTCAACGCAGAGAACTTCATTCTTTTGTTCTTAAGGTGAAGATGTTGAATGAGCCGATCGTATTCCTCGTCGATGTTATCGAGAATGGCATCTTCCCAACGACCGACTAGTGAATTGAATAAATCCCAGTTTATGGCGGTTTTGGGACTTCGTTTTTTGAAATAGTTCCCAGGATCGACTTTCTCTTAACCTCGGCATTGGAATATGAATGTGTCGTTTTCTTGTTCAGCAATCGCGAGGTTTTTAAACAGCATACATTTACTTCCATAAAAACACAATACAATACAACGCTAGCTGACGTTTCGGCAGTATCGCCTTCTTCAGAGCCTGGAAGGGTATACTGATATGCAATCTACCAGGCCAAACGCTTCAATAACACTTACAAAAAGACGAAAGACTCTTTGGTAATTACATGATCAACAACTTCTCGAAAAACCCACCGCTTTTTCGTGACTTCCAATGAGGAAGTTTAGAACAGCTGATTATAGTCGCATGTGGTTGACGACTGCACCATCCCACATCAAAAATCGAAGCGAACATACCGGATCAGGTCGCGTATGACCTCCGTACATTCATCCCTGCTATTCATTGTAGGGTTTTTGGCATTTATCCAAAAAGCCTCAAGAAGTTTTCGCCTTGGTGTTTTGGACTCCTGTGCAAGGATATTGACTTTTACTTCAAAATCGTCTCCGCTATGCTTTTGTATCCTCGGAGAGTTCTTCGTCTTTTTGTAAGTGTTATTGAAGCGTTTGGCCTAGTAGATTGCATATCAGTATACCNCGGATCAGGTCGCGTATGACCTCCGTACATTCATCCCTGCTATTCATTGTAGGGTTTTTGGCATTTATCCAAAAAGCCTCAAGAAGTTTTCGCCTTGGTGTTTTGGACTCCTGTGCAAGGATATTGACTTTTACTTCAAAATCGTCTCCGCTATGCTTTTGTATCCTCGGAGAGTTCTTCGTCTTTTTGTAAGTGTTATTGAAGCGTTTGGCCTAGTAGATTGTATATCAGTATACCCTTCCAGGCTCTGAAGAAGACGATGCTGCCGAAACGTCAGCTAGTGTTGTATTGTATTGTGTTTTTCTATGGAAGTAAATGTATGCTGTTTAAAAACCTCGCGGTTGCTGAACAAGAAAACGACACATTCGTTTTTTGAATTTAGCGGGTTTTTCTCTTTTCCGCAAGAAGTGAAATCTTGCAAGAAGGAGGCGATGATCTAATCATTTTGGGATAACAGCATCGGTTAGCCAAAACCTTCTATTTACTATGATGTGGTCTATTTCGCTGTGGTAAGGCTACCTGGTCCAGCGCTGAGGATGGAGTTTCTGGAACTGCGAGTAACCACGGAGTCTCTTGGTCTTGGTCACCTTGATAAACTCAGATAGCCCCTCACTCTCTTCGTTCCATTCTAATCCGTGGGTCCCAATGTGACGTTCTTCAGACGTTCTTGGTCCAGTCTTTGCGTTGAAATCTTTAATGATGATCTTGAAGAATGTGTGGTCTTGTTTGTAGAACTTCTCCAAGTCCATATAGAACGCTTCGACTTCTTCTTCTTCGTCATAGTTTGATGTCGGCGCGTAAACGACGAAGGTTGTGAAAGCCGGGATTGATCCACGTCTTTTTAATTGTTAACGTCCGATTCGGGTTGTAATTTGTTCGAATGAATTGATCTTCAAGGCCAAACTCGTGTTGACGAGAGTGCCGACGCTGCCGACTCCTGTACTGTCGCATGTTCCAAGGAATAGTTCTTCTGCGGTGTCATAGACAGCGTTGAATGGGTGATGTCGTCTCATTTTGGCGATTCCGATGAACATCGTAGCTTATCCTTCTTGCTTGCATGGCCGAATTTTCCATCGAAGACTCGCGTGCAAGTGAAAGTGTACTGTGAGTGCAGATCGTCACTAGTCCTTTGCGATTTCGGCAGCTTAGAATGGCCCTGAGATTTTAGCAGCCTCTCCGTACTCCTCCTATCCAACGATGCTGAATCTGGTGTTGTTTTGGGGTCAGGGGAATTAGGCCATTTCTTCTACTGGGTTTAGTTTTTCGGTGCCCACGTATTACTTGCAGAGCTATGAATGTGGGGGCTGGTGTTCTCATGGGTTACTTGTCAGTCTCTCCTAGAATAGACGTGGACCTCATTTGTTGTAGGCAACTCCTAACCGCATCCCATATGCTTTCCTTTCATTTATTTGCAGGATTATGGCCGAATTGACCCGTAGAATACAATGCGCATAAACGAGAACACATCCACGAACGTATGCATGAATACGTCCTCGTAAATACGGGAAGTGTATACTAAATCGGCGCAGCAGAAACACGAAGTTCATCTCTTGGATACATCTGTGTCTCAGAGTGGCAATGCTCGCTTTCCGTGCGCGCTTAGACCCCTATACGCTACCTGGGGACGTGCTACGTAGCCGTGCGACTAACAGGCTCGAAATCTCTCATATGAGGGAGATCCTTGGGAAGAATTCCTAATATAGGTGTCATACGATTATAATATAATGGGTAAACAGTTATGCACTATCTAAAGGCTGTTGTTCTATTGGTAACTATTTAAACAAGTATTTTATAAAAATGAAGGAATGTCTTGCTATTTGCTACCTTTCTGCAGTTGTCTAAAGCTCCTGAATTTAGGATTTTTGTGGTGACCTCTCATTTTAGGCATCGGCAACTCACACTATTTCTACATAAGACATGTGTTCGCTCTGGCAGGCACTACAGCTGGATGGCTGTTCCTCCTGGGTCTACTGGTGAGGTGAGCAGTGAGCTTTTGTGATTCATATCTTTTCATCACGTGTTGTTCTCAATCACTAAAATTTTTGGTTACGAAATACAAGATAATGTGATTGGTTAGCTTTTACTCCACTACTTGAACTACCGTGGCAAGATTCCAATCTGCTGTTCATGAAACACTTTTGTCCCTTATCAAACGCATCGCGATGCAGACTCGCCTTTTTTTTCGAGAAAAGCATCTTTAAGGAACCTAATTATCATGGTGTTAAGAACTTTCTCAAGCAATATATTTAAGTAGAAATCGGTGTCTAGCGAAGTCAATCGTAATATATTGTTTTAACGTTTTGTTTTCTGCCTTCTATAATTTTCATGGCAGGTTACTAAGCGAAATACAACCACAATGTTGCTGAGATATTTGCAAAACTCTGGACCGCAGGTGTCTATGGTGGGGAACGAACGCGCTATTATCCTTTCCGGGGAGTAACGCGTTCACCACCACACCATGCGGGTCCTTTGTTTCGCACGTCTCTCAGCTATAAACCCCGCTGACGGGTGATTGCTGTGGCAAAAAGATCGATAGAACTAGCTGAGAGACACGCG